TCAGAAGTTAGCTTTGGGCCAAAGTTTAAGAGAGAAAAACTAGGAAGTGCACTCCGATGAGGTAGAAGCATAACAGTAAAGGCTTCAGTATAAAGGTATACACCTGCAAACAAACATTAGTCGTGAAATCCCTAGCAACTAAGTCACTGGATTTTCTCTGTCAGCGCCTGTGTCAGCTGCCAAAGAATAGATTAAAAACGAAGAAGTGCCCACATGCTGGCAGGGGCAGGCCAGCTTCTGGCCAGCCAGATACTGCTAGATTGTAATATATAAGGTCGAATTTCGACCTGTGGTACACAGCTGTGCTGTGGCTCAGTCAGCAACCTCAGAACTCTTAACAAACATGCACCTGTTTCACTGTGAATAGTGAATGTAAAGGAAGGAAAGGAAACAAATACAAAGCTTGTTCTATCACAGGTATGAGCTGCTACGATGCATGAAGAACATTCCATGAAGTATGTTTTAAAATCTTGTTATATCTGAGAGGCTTTAAAAGCCGATTTAACTGTTTCAGGGCAACCGCGGTACAGACGTGGTCTCTGTGAGACTTCCACCTGACCCCAGTTTTAAGTGGTACGAATGTTGTGCATTTAATGTTTAAAGGACAGTCTGCAATAATAAAGTAAGTGGCCAACGTGGGTGCCCAGCAGTGCTGAGACCTGGCTGCTATATTGTAAGCTTTGGAAAACACAATTTATGCAACAGATGTCCAGATATGATTCTATTTATGGAAAAAGTTTATATGTGTTTTACAAATGGTTTTACCATCTTATATTAAAATGACCTTTTGACAGGTGTGCGCTGTTTTGTCTCCAGTGAGCACATACCATGCGGATTTTATATGTACATCAGTAGAGTGAATCCACTGGCACAGTGTGTGTATATGCCAGATGTGGTGAGATTTTATCTTATAAATGTGATCAGATTAAAAAATAAACTCCTGACAGAAAATGTAAGGAAACCAGCTGAATGTTTGAATTGATGACTGATGTTGTATGGTTTATGTTAAATGTATATTCTTTTAATCAATAAATAAAGCATTAAAAATTGATCACTGTATAAAATATTTTGTTGTATCAGCATGAGAATTTCTAGACTTAAATTGCAATGATCATTCATAAGCTGTGTATAACTGGTAGCTCCCATTGTGTTTAGGTCAAAGAAAGAGTCTAAAATGTCATACAGCAGTTTCTTTTACTTGGCTGAATTTTGTCAATGTTTTTGGAGGGGAGGGGAAGGGTGCTTTGCTGAAGCTCAGACTACCAGACCAGTTAGCACAAACGATATATCACAATATGACTTACTAGACTGATACAGTAAACTGTGGATTGTAGAATATAGAAGACTATTTTGAGAAATTCCTGCATCCGTTGCAATTGCTTAAATCAAAATCTAATGTGATCTAGAAAAATGTGTAGTACTCTTTTTGGTGTCCCACTATTAAATAGATTATGAATACCCACAATGCTTCAGTTGACATTTTATCCGCACTCAGAGTACGTAGCTGTGTATTCTGAATGAAAATTGCAGATGTCTGATAAGCTGGTGGAGCTGCCGTGCCCTGCAGCGCCTGACTGTGCTGTGAGAATTGTTGGAGTGGCTGTTCAGTGTGTGCGTGCCAAGCACGGGTTTGGTTTGAGCTTCTGAATTCCATTTTGTGACAGCCCAAACCACTACCAGGCTGCACTGCTTGTCGGTTGAGCACTGTCCTAGATCTTGTAGCTCTGGCAAGCAAGAGCATTTAACAGTTTGCTGGAGAGAGAAGTAGATTTTGCTGTGGGTAATAAGTAGATAAATATGACTATAGGTTTTAATTTTCCAGTAAAGTGAAATGTCAGGACACAGTCGTGGTGCCTTTTGGGGCTCAGCTTCACAGGGGAGGTTTCTGTAGCAGTTAAATCTGACAGGGATGTTCAGCATCATCTGGGCCTTAAATCTGGTTACAAAGTGATAGAAGGATTTCTGGCAGCTCCCATGCAAATTGCTGAAGATGTCGGGTCCTCAGAGTTGCAGAATGTTAATTTTTTTTCTCTGCAGACTACAGTGTTTCTGTGCATAGCTGCATTATTTACTGTAATTGGGACTCGTTTAGCTTCATTACCTCGATGTTTGTAGTCTGTTTTCTGATTTAAATTAGTGTAATGTTAAAAGGTAAGGTAAGGGGCAGGAGAGTTTGGCCACTTGTCAGTGGTAGAGAAGTGTGCAGTCCTTTCACTATGCTGAAAATGGGCTGTCTCTATGGGGGTTAGTACTGTGGTGAAATACTAGGAAGTAGTATGCTGTTAGTACTTCAGATGTGATTCCTCCTTCAGCTTGAAGTCTAATGTCTGGATATGGTTTGTGTTCCAGGTTGAATTCATTGTGCTTAGTCTGTATACTGCAGTGAACCTTTGCTCTTCAAGTATAGGGATCTGCAAGGCGAGTGGCTGGAGAAACAGAGACCTTCAGCAGAGTTGGAAAGGTACACCTCTGGTTCTGTTTCCTTAGAAACAAGTAACAGTTGGCCCTTTCTGGGTGGTTGTGCATTTAGCAGTAGTTTGAATTAGTGGTACCAGGATGAAGGGATTCAAATTAAAGCAGCTGTAAATCAAATGGCGGGCAAGTTGGTCCTAATGTAGAAAATACCACTCTACTTTGAGAGGGGCCAGAGGAGCTATGTGAAATTGCTTCAAGTTTGCATAATCCCAACAAGAATTTTTTTTTCTTTTTGTTTTTCCTAAAAAGACAGGGGTGTTAAGTTAGTCTTGTTGCATTTTGGATTTAGCAGCAGCAAGTTGGAACACAAGCCCTTCATTGTTACAGCTCATTGCTCCTTCCCAGTGGGGGGAGCAGGGATTTCCCTGCACACGCGCTTGTGTGATCCTGCTCAGGCAAGCTTATGTAACCCATTTCGTGAACTACTCTGTCCTACTTCCTGGTGCATAAATATGAGCTTGTTTTCGTTGCTTGCCTGCAAATGCAGCTTTGGGATACTGCTGGAAAAAAAAGAAAAAGTGCCATTCTGTTTGCAGGATGCTCCAATCCATGCCTGTTCTGTATTATCTTTAGTCCAGTTAGCTTTCATTTTGCCTGCGGCTCCCTGCCATTGTGGGCATGGAGTCTACTGTTTTGGTGGAGGAACAATTGTATTTTGAAGACAGTTAATTATAAGCTAAAACAAATATTTAGCTCTGCATCTGTTCAGATAATGGAGCTACACTTACAAGTACTTTTGGGATTAAAAAAAAAGTTTGTTCTGTTGGCAGTATTACCAACATTAAGGGCCTCGGTGATTTTGGCTGTTTTCTACACATGGGGTTATTGGCTGACAGTTGGTGCTTCTGGCTGTTCTTAGGGCTGATGCAAAGGTGGATGTATAAGCTGGACAGCTGCTTTTAGGGGCCTGGTTAAGTCCCACAGGCCAACTTAGAGCCTCTGGAAAGCAAATCATGGCTAAAAGTGATGCAACAGCTGAACTAAGCTAAACAGCAGTTAAAGATTTCAACACACGAACCTTTAAAGTGCCTGCTGCCAGTTTTCATTGGCCAGTAGCTTAAATAAAGGGCTTATCTAAATGCCTTTGACTAAATTAGAAAGAATAAAGAAATAGCAAGGAGGAGCCATGGGGCCGTTCTGCAGCCAAAATAAGCCAATGGGGAAATAAGGTTAAGAGCAGGAGTGTTGCAGAAAGAAAAGCTCACTTTGCAGACTTGATCTAAGCAAGCAGTTACCAAAAAAAGTGTGCTGGAGCTTTCTGGAAACTTCTAATTATGGGGTGTGGTAGCTTGAGAGAGTAGAGCAAGTGTACAGAGTTGGTTAACATTAAAAACTCTTTTCTGTGTGTGTGCACGTATGGAGAATGGGGGAATGGCAGCTTGCTGCCCACTGCTGCTACTCTAAGTGGAGCCTTAGCTAAAAACAGTTTTTTTGTTTTTTAAAGGGTTCCTTACCAGATGACTGCACTGTAATTACATGGTTTTCAAGTTGAAGTGTGTTAGAGCCTTAACAACACCAACTGACAAGAGCCAGCAGCTTCTAGCAGGGGCCTTTAGACTGTATGACAGCAGGTAAATATGGAGCAAGGCTCTGTTCTGATACAGCCTGTCACCTTAATGAGAATCTGTGCCCTGGTTGCAGGAAGGCTGCTTTGGCTGCTCTAACAATCACTACCATGGGGCAAGAAACAAAGAGATGCCACTTTTTTTGTGTTCTTCAGTTCTGCTTTTTTTTTTTTTTTTTGTGAAACTTAACACTCACTACAAAGTGTGTATGGACACAATTCTAAAACCTTTTTCTAGCCCCTAAAACAATTATGTTTGGGTTTCTTTTAAATGCACGTTTGTCTTAGCAGCATGTTCTTGACAACTCTTGTTGCTTCCCTTTGCAAAGTATGTTGGTTATACTTGCTTCTGTGCTCTTTCCAGGCAAGAAAGGAATTTTATCTTTCTTTGCTCTTTCAATTATCTGTAATATTACATGGTTACAAAAGTCTCCTACCATGCTGTATGGCTACTTGGTTGATAAATGCTGATGGCTCTCCAGCCGTGCAGAGTTGAAAGAATGAAGACTGTAAGCTTGGGGAGTGCTTTTGTTTAGTTTTGTCCCTTGTTAGTGTTAGAACACTGTTAAACTGAATTCATGCTGGGACAGTAAAAAAGCAAACAAAAAATACTAACTAGGACTTCAGCTGCTGTTTACCGTGGCCACGCATCTAACAACAATTGTCTGGTGATGCTGAAGTATCACATACAGTTGTAAGATGGTAACTCCTTGCTTTCACAGCATCTTGCCTTACAAAAACAGAACACCTGCGATGAAACATACCTTAGGCTAGCAGTTTTCAATGGTGATAAGAGTTGCTTCACATTTCCTTTCCTTTGTGCCACAGTGGTAAGTCCCTGGCATCTGCCATTCTATGAAGCTTTCTCAACTGAAAGATCGCCTACAAGTCATGAACAGAGTAGTAGTTGGGTTCCTCTTCCCTTCCCTAAAACTTTTCTGTTAACATGGTACTACAAGTATTTATTTAATTTCATCATCTTTACATTTTATTTATTCAGTTTTTTTCACATTCTATTCATTGAGCAAGCATCAGTATTAGCATGCAAAGCTTCCCTGTACAGCTAAACAAGGACAAAGCAGCTGCACTTTTAAAATGATTCACATTATTTAATTTTATATACCTCTGAAGAGATCACCCAAATTAGAAATACTTAATTTAAAGTGACTACTGTACAATGGAAATCACTTATTCACAATATTTGTAGTTATATTTTGTTCTCTATTTACAAAATACTATCCTGAACATTTTCTATTAAGCTTCAATTTGAGCAAAGTAGTTTATTTATACTTAAGTAACAGCAGTTACTTAACGTAAGAGAAATGCCATTAGAAGAGTAGAGAAATGGTTTGGCACGGTGCTCAAACACCTGTCAAGTCTCTTGTTGTGTTTCTGGTTGTTCTGTGGCCGATGTATTTGACTGAGGTGACTCGATTCTGTTTTCAGGAGGTGGGGGTGGACGCAGGAATTCAGGTCGCTGAGGTGGATAGTGAGGAAAGGATCTCATGGGAAATGGATTTCTCACTGTGAAACAATGAAAGTAGTCCAGTTAATACCAATCACAGCAGCAAATCCTCACTTGCTCCTTCTACCCCATGCACCTTTCTGTTCACAATGGCCTATCCAATTAGAAGTCACAAGGTGGAACCATCTAAGATGATGTTCTTAGATCTATCATGTGCTCCACTGAGACAAATACTCTAGGAAAGGAAAGGACAAAATACCCACTTTCCTCAACTGGGATCTGGTGCCAGGCTTGTGGCATCAGCAGTTAGTGTCTGCTAATGGGCTTCTGCTGCTGCCACCACTACCTTCAGTTTGATGTGAAATTTGATCTGGTAGCCCCTGGCTGTCATACTGTAAAGGTGCTGTGGAAGATAGAGATTACTTCCTTACAGCTTAATCTGTGAACAGCAAGAGGCAGAAAGAAGCCCTTCAATCTGATACCTGCATCTTGTTCCAAAGATGGAAACTATGGAAGTGAAACAATTAACAGGTATGTCACAAATGCATGCCTTTGTATGGACATTAGCATACCTTACAACTAAAGAATGATGAAGCTCTATGATTTATGTCTGATGCAGCTTCACAGCTACTTGCATTTCTACCTGAGAAAAGGAACCTTTCAGCTGCTGAACACTGTATGCTCTTTTCCAAAGGTAATATTAGTGAAAAAACACTACCACAGTGAGCAGCTCTGAAGAAGTAAATATACACTACCCCCGTAACCAGAAAGTTAGACAAACTGAGAAGTGGTTTGTGCATATTAAAACTGAATGAACAGGCAATAAACCACTCACGTTCATTAGCCTGAAGTAAATGCTAAAGGAGTTACATACTTGGCAGTGGAGGGCGTGGAAGCCCCATGTCTCGTACTGGAAAACATTCACGTGGTCCGTAAATGCCAGCAGGGGGAGGGGGAGGAAAAGGGGGTCGTCTCATGAAGGGTCCTCGGGGATCCATAGGCATCATTGGAGGTCTGACTGGAGGGAAAGGTGGAGGAGCAAACCCTGAGCTGACTGCTTCACTTTCAGATGCCAGCAGCTGATCAGGGAGAGAGTTCTGTAACACATTAAAACAGGGAAGATAGCTTAGGGAAAAGGTCAGAGAACATCTTAAATCTCATCAGGTCCACTTTGACGTGGACTGTCACACAAGCCATAAACCAGTTCTAAGCAGCATAATCCTGAGCAAGGCTACTTTGGTGCACTGACCATCACCTTGATTATAGTCTCACTTTTCAGGTTTTAATTAATTTTCAGCACTGATTATGCTAGTAACATCTCCCAGTTAACTCACATGACAGTGAATACTGTGATAAAAATCCACATACAATTTTTATAACTTGGACTGCACAGTGCAATATGCTGAGTATTACAGACTATTTTTTTCTATATCTTTTCTGTTATATTTTAAATCAAGTTTCTGTTTAGCTACTTACGCTAAGATTAGAATGATCTTTCATCTCGTTTCCAGTTGGTTCTGTTAGCGGGCTATTTTCTGAAGATGTCTGCCCATCTGTATGCAGAAGTTAAACAAATTACTCAGTGCTGACTCCCCCCCCCCAGTTTTTTTCTTAACTCAGAAGATACAAGCAAGACAATTAAACATAGGGCTGTACCAAGCACCTACTCTGCAAGCAGACTGAAAGACAACCAAGGAACACAAAATCTGCACTTCAGCATTTTCACCAACCTGCGCACAGTTCGCACATGAGTATTTCCAGGCTGCAGCTTTTACCAAAGGTTTTTTGTATACAGATAAAGTTTTTGGTTTTTTTCCTCAGAAGTTACACATGCATTTTCCTAGAGGTTACCACAGCAGCTGCATTTCCCCTTCTCATACCTTATTCCTTTGGCAACTCCCACTTCAGCTGAAAGTCCTACTCTATAACCCCTGTTTCCCCAGGCTGGGAATTACTGCACTAAAACATAAAGAGCAACAACATCACATCATTTCAAGCAGGCTTTGCCTGTGTTAGAGAAGCTGTTACTTAACAACCTGAAACATTTTTTTAAGCCATGCAGAGCATATTCATTCCTTGACACTCAAGCTGCATAACACTTTCTGTTTTAAATCCCTGTTAAGTTGCTCTCAAACTCTGTCAAAACTTCAACCCTTCTGACAAGCGTCTTGCTCTCCAGCTATCTGCCTTAAGTTAAGCTTTTGTAGTTAGACATCTCATCTTAAGAAAAGGCACGTTAGCTTGCTAAGAATGTGTAGTCAGTTCACTTTAGAGTTGGAGCCTGGATTCCACTACTGTGAGATGTTGCTCTTCTGAGATCAGATGACGGGTGTATTTTTACAAATGCTTAAGTCTGATGAAATTATATGTCTCTAAAGAGCAACATTCACAAGCTTAATGAGCTGCTAAATGTTGGCAGCAACGTTACCTAAATGTTATCCACTGTTTCCATTAAGTAGACTACAAACTGCCAAAGAACCATGCACTCAGGAGAGACTGTTATTGCTAATCCCTCCTATGGCTCAGTACAGTCATCCTATACTGAGATTCTCCAGTTGACTGTACCATAGAAGCCAGGTAAAGTAATTCCCACCTGTCTTCTCAAAAGACTGCATACTATAAGTCCGCAGCTCTGCTGGTCCAGAAAGTCTTCCAGTATTTGGAGGATTAGGGAAAAATCTTTCTTGTCTTCGAGGAGGAAGAACTGCATCAGTATAAGGCTCACCTATCGGTGGAAAAAAGAAAATAAAAAAAATCAGAATATCACCAAACAGGTCAGTGTTTCATACAATTTTACATCAGCAAAATTCTCTGGCTATCTTATGCTCTTGTACATAGTCAAAGTGACTATTAAACAGGGTGGGAAAGCAATCTTAGATTCAGTATCAATGAAGGCCAATATACAAACGATCTATTGTTTATTTTAAATCACACTAATCTAAGAGTGACATTTCCCATTACATTTCATAGTACCTTAACACGTTTCCAACGTACTTGCACTGAATTTAGTTATTATGCAGCTACAAGGCAAGCTGCAGCAGCAAGATTCAGAGCAAGGCTGGGTAAGAACACAGTTCTGGACAGGAAAACAGGAGTACCTCTGCATTATCCTATAAGTAGCTGAGATCTAGCAAGTAGGAAATTTGCCAGATACAGTTTGTTCATCCTGAATGAACTTTGAGTTTCATGATCAAGCTCATATGCAGTTGATGAGGCTTATATACAACTATAATATCTTGCTGCAACTGACAATTGTTCTATACCCTCTTTGTTTTTTTAAATGTTCATTTTTAAAATCGTAGTATCTTTGTTTCTTTAATACAAGCAAAAAATACTTAAATATATACACCACAAGTCAGTAATTCCATTCTTTCAGTAGCTAAGCAGATTTCTGTACCTGATGGAGGCAGAATTATTCTGCGTTCTCTGTCCCAGGGAGGAGACAGAGATCCAGTATCTGATGGTGGTCTGTGGGGATCAGTTAATCTATCAGAACTCACGTCTCCTCGTTCATTGCTGCCTTCATACATGACAGTCGATCCTGGTCCTCTAGATCCTAATTGAACAAATCAGATAGCTCAAACTCATGTTTTTAAACCTTCCATCATGTCTTTCTTCATTAAGTCTGAAAACAATGGAACGTATCACGAAATGTCAGCACTTTCAAGATACAAGAGGAGCAAGGGTCCACAGGAAACTCCAGCTGTTCACTGATGATGATCTACAAGGAGCCTTTAAAGGTTTCTTTGGAAGGAAAATATCTTAGTTCAAGAGAAGTGTAATCTACACTACCTGATTTTTTTAAAAATAATTTCTAAGAGTACTTGTTAATTCAAAGAAACTGCTGCCTTCATGGTGTTATTTTCAGCACTAAAATAACTGTCACTAACAACAGCTCATCAATTTAAAAATTATCACTCAAAGTTAATATCCTTATTAAATATATCCATTCATATTATATTCAACACTATTGTCATTGTCTCTATTATAAGAAAAAAAAAAACAAAACAGAAAAGACCAGGTCAACGTATAAGTTGGAAGAGAAATTGTGACAATGAGTGACTTCAGGTTTGTAGTTTTCTTTCAGGTAAGACTTGTTCTGAAGATTAACAAAATACACAATTCTGGTATTCTCCTCTACTCCGAAATTCAACCTAGAATTCAAAGCCATTTTCTACCCTGCACAAAGTGAGATGAGCACTATAATTACACTATAATTACTGCAGTTACATCAACTACACACATCGTTTATCTATCCAAGTTATATTAGTGCTCTATTGCAAAATGAACCACAGTTATTCTTTTGCACAGTTACCTTCTTTGCTAAGACTTCACTTTGAAATCCAGTTTTCACCTTACTCACCAGTAAAGTCTGAGCTACAATTTGAAGATTTGCATGACATCTAAATTGCATTACTTACTGCTTCTATTCAAGTAGAAGTTGTCAAACCTGTAATTTTTGTTGTTTGTAGTATAGCTATGGTTGAACATTCAACCTCAGCTTTTTTTTTTTCCTCTTAGAACATGAATCAACTTTCAGATGGAACCATCTATTATTTATGGAGAATTAAAGTACATAAATAGACAATGCTAGTTTTTAAAAATCAATGTTGATTATTGAAATCCCTATAAATATTTTGACATATTTCCCATTAAGTAAGTTGCCAAAAGATCTCATAGCAGTACTAAGTTATATAGTAGCTTCTTCATGACCTGCAACAGATGCTGAATTCCATACTAGAATTCACCTACACTGTTTCCATTAAAAAAAATAAACATTAAGGAGTCATGTTTCCTTCCCTTATGACCCAAGACACCGTGCGTTTCCTTCACCTACTTCTCAACTGATACATTCTACTCCCTGTGCACAGCCTTCCTGTTCTCTTTCAGCACTAGGGATAAGATTCAAACTTCAAAACTAAAGGGAGAGAAGAATCAGTAACTTCCTACAGAATCACTTTTCATGACTCAATAAAATGTTGAGAATGTAGGTACCTCCACTTCCCTTCTCTCTCTTTAAACGAATGTATGAATGAGGTGAAAGCATCTGTATTTTTAATGCAGAAATCTGACTCATTTAATTTAACATCAGAAGTTATTTCAGCAGAACTGCATTTGTCCAGTAAGACCAAGGTTGCCTCTCTTCTCAATTTGCGTTTGTGAAGTGAATCCACTGACTAACTCAAACCAACAAAATTTTCCATTGTACTGGTGTACGTTATACAGATTTAGAAGCAAGATGAAAAACAGGAAGAGTTTGTCTGTTTATACTGAATTGGTTGTTTTAATGCATTTGTCACCAGTAAGAGGAAAAGGTGTGACAGATTTATAGCAGAGGAGAGAGAAATCCAGAACAGACAGGTTTTCAAGTTTAAGAATTGTACCTCTTCCTCCTCCTGCACCTGGAAGCATAGGTGAAAGCCTTAAAGGACCCTCCAATAAAGTTGGAGGGGAAAGAAAAGCTCTTGTTTCAGATGAAGGCCGGCCCATTGGTGAGGGTCCATATGGGGAATGCTCTGGAACAGTTAAAACAAAATACTCAAGTTCACAATACTCAGTTTAGCAAGCTGTATTAATTACTTAACTTCTCAAGTGAACTTTAAAACTAAATTCAATAAGTGAAATGAGAACTGCGTTCCAGTTACTGTATGTGTCACATTTCCATCTACTCTCATCAACGCTGCCAACACTCTTAGTTTCAGTATTACCTACAACAACTTATGACTTTTTTTTATTTTTTGACATGACTTATTTGTACACACATGTGGCCAAGATAGGTTTGAAACAATTAGATGTGTGTCAGCGCAGGAAACAGAACCAGAATTCAGAACTATTAGGGTCTATTTTACCATTCAATACTGTACCTCTGAATGGTCTAACTGGAACATCAAGAGCATAAGGATCTTTTTCTAAAAGGTCAAGTTTAAATTCTGCTTCAGTTAATCTGTAAATAAACAAAGAAAGTGCAAGAATGTTAGCAGCCTGCACTGCTTACTATCAACTTTCCTACTGTAAGTGCTCAAAAGACAGACACATTCTCTAAATAAACAAGCGATGTCACAGAACTCTGAATTTAGTAATTCCTCAAATTTCTTTATGCTACTGTATTTAAACTGGAATTCAGAAGTTCAATAGCATGTTAGATACCACAAGTGTTAGCACAGCAATGCTCTCATGAGCACTCTATGCTTCAGGTCTTTATTTTAATTGTCCTTCCAAAAGTTCCTTTCCACCACCTAAGCTTTTAGGTCAGTACTAACTTCTGAACTGCAAGTTGCAAGATCATTTGGTAATCATGACTTCTGGTTAATTCATACACATTAGAAAAACAGTGTCATTAAAACCTCAGAGTCCTAGTACTACATTCTGCTTCTTTCATGAACTAATTCAATACCTCACACAGTTCATATTTTCTTGCATGGCATTATTACAGGAATCCTCAACTGTCTTTCAGAGCTACGATGGAATACTGTGCACTTTCTACCTTATCACAATTACCACTGGTTAACACAGGTCTAGAAAACACTGAATTGCACAAATCCAAAATGTCCTCCAGTGTCACATTACATTTGTTTAGAATCAGATCAGGACTGCACTTACTTTTGTCGGTTATGAGCGTTTTCTTTTCTTATATCATTGAGTTGTCTTTCAGCTGCACGAGCTGTCAGCTTCCAAGAGGGACAAAAATCAGATGCTTAGATATTTTATTAATTAAATCCTTCATAAATGTTAAAGCTCCTAGATCTAAGACATTTTTCTATCTGAGGTGTGTAGATTGTATTTTCATTGCATACTAGTGATGCATAAAGCACATGAAACAGAGCCTCGGAGACATCACCAAATGATACTAGCAGTTCTGCTAGCTAACTTTTTGGAAACAAGGAGGCTTTCCAGCAGATTCTTAGAACTGCAGGAATGGAATTCTCAAGCTATAGCTGCTTTGAAACATCTACAGAATACATACAAGATTTAAAATCTCCAATGTTACGTAAGAAAAATGTATATTAAATTAATACAATTCAAATCTATATTACAATCATGACGTGCTATTTTAACAGGACGATCTCATACAGACCATTCTGCAAAACTGAACATTTATTAATCAGGGGATATTGTAACAATTTCTGTTTGGAAAAAAGTAAAAACAGAATTTATAGCACCATTCTTAGGAAGCTGTCAATGGAACACGCTGTTCTCACAGGACACAATGTCTTCTATTTGTAGATAAAAGGAGTGGAGTGCATCCAGGAAAAATATTAAAATGGCACTGAAGCAAGGCCAAATGCTTGTGTTATTAGCAAAATGTCACACACTTATTAAACGATAGCATGTTATTCAAGCAGAGTTAGTGCAATAGCAAATAACACTGCAGTACTTAAATTCTACTGAGCTCATAAAGCAAGTTATTCAAATCACTGAAAAGAGAGACAGCAGCTGATACAAAATTAAGAACATTTGGTGTTTTAAGCTTACCCAATTATCATGAGCTTTCTTCTCATGTGAGGTAATCTGTGGAAAAAAAAACATTATTACATCATTACTGAAGAGCATTATTCATCTAAAGAAGAAAAGTTAAGACTGAGTAAATGCTCTTATTCATAAATTTAATGTGTATAATTATGAGACAAACTTAAACCAAAGCTCCTTTTTCATAAAGTTACAGTGATCTCTGCTAAGAAACTGAGTCTACCAAAACAGATGGTGTAAGAGAGGTTAAAAGAGAACAAAACAAAAGCCAGACGAAGTATCAACACCTAACTGGAAGTGGTATTTCACTGCAGTAGCATCCATCCTACTTGGCACAGCTGCCAGGTAACACAAAGCACATACCTGATTCTGATAAGAGCGAATGGTTCGTTCTAGCTCTTCTTCCAGATCTTTTGCTCTCAGTCTGTAACAAAAACAGCATTAATGATGCCGCAATAAACTGCTGAGGAAAAATAGTTTTAAATATAAAAAGCACAACTGTGGTACTTAAGATTTCATATCTAGAAGGAAGTATTGTTATTTAGGCCTAGACTTAACAGCACTGATGTCATTTTTGTGTATCCTGCGGTCCTTAAAGTAGTACATGCAGGATGCTAAAAACACATTCCTCCCAACTCTTCAGTGGTCTGTGATATATTTCCAATTTAAAGGAAATTATCCTTTAAATCGGGGGGTTGGACTCGATGATCTCTGGAGGTCCCTTCCAACCCCTACAATTCTGTGATTCTGTGATATCCCTCTACATAATGCCCTAACAGCCAGCCTTACCAGCGCAGCAGCTGTTAACTGGCTGGAATCTTATGCCATTTCAGGCTACCAGTCAGTTCTGAGGGACAGTTACTTGCACTAAGGTTATTTCCAGACCACAAAAAGCATGAAGCCACCTTGTTGTTGTCAACCTCCTGTGCACAGCCTCTGCAGACGGGCCCCAGATAAATGGTGAGGATGCTAAAAAGTGAATTGTGTATTCCTGTAAGAATACTAAAGAATGCCTACAGTAACTTCATATTCCAAAGAAGAATTACTGTAATTAACTCTTCAGAAAGCATAGCTGATCAGTACTGTTCACTTTGAATCAACACTCTCAGAAGCACTACAGGAAGACAGGAAATGTACATTATAGATCAAAGAATTATGCTACCAGTTAGAGAAACTACAGACAGCAGTCGTAACACGAAACAGAGAAAAACAGTTAAAAAAAAATATAGAAAATATTCCTGAGTATTTTAGGAAAGAATTTCTAAACAGCAATATTATTTCACAGCTTACACATACAGAAATAGAATACTAAACTACATAATGAATATGTTCAGAACAATGGGAGAACCAAATATTACATTCATTTTAACTTCTGATTTTGATGTCTGTTCAGCTGACATTTAATTACGACTAACACTCCAATCAAAAAGCTATCAGTGGTCTTCTGTTCTCAATTATGTATGGATTACTACATACAAGCAAGCACACACACAAACAAGAAACTATCTGGAAGAAAATACATTCACTTCTTCTGGTATTCTCTATTGCCTTTTGTTTACTTTCAAACAAGTGAGTAAAATTTGTCATTACCTGTAGCTGTTTAGTTCTTCAGCAGCGTGAGTAATTTTTTCATCTACTTTAGAAAGCTTTTCTTCTTTTTGTAGGCGTTCTCTCTCTTCTACTGTCAGTTTTCTTTAAGAAAATTCACAAACTAAGGTTAATTCTGTTTTTAAGTCAACAATTCTGTAGTCAGAATATCAAGAAAAAAAATCTCAAGTTACTTGGCTAGAATGTATAGAAAATGTTTATCTAGATAAAGGATTTTACTGACAACAAACAAAGTGCAGAAACAGGATTAGATTTTATTCATATTAATTTATTCAGTTCATTAGTTTTGTTTTATGAAACATTATCACTATTCCTGAAAATATTCTGGGAGATGATTTAAACTCCCAAATACTAAAGCTCTCCTTTTGCAAAATATTTACTCTCTAGGGAGTATTTCTATTTAAAACAAACAGAAAGCGCATAACCCCCAGCCTCCCCCCCAGAAAAACAAAACCAACCACAACCAGAAAAAACCCAAGTACACAGACCTACATTATCTTTCAATGCTATTTCAGCAGCTATTTAGCAGATGTTCTGTTAGTACTAATAGCCACTTTTACTCAGCTGTTAAACTGACTTCAATCCATACTGGCCATTCTTGTCTTTGACAAGCAGCATATGTTTATTGAGCTTTGGCATGGTATGTCTAAATGGCTAATTTTTAAGTGGTTCCTTTCTATTCCCTCATCTCTTTTAAAATCAAATGTTAATGTAGTGGATTTCTGGGTTTTGCTACACTAGCAAGGATGCCAATTACACAGGTACTATATATGAACTACAGAGCAATTTATTGTTGAAAGTAACACTTAAAATGGGCCCTGCATACTGCCTAGTACAGAATCAAGGCTTGCGCTGCTTCTCTTGCTACCTTCAGAATTATGTTTTCTCCTTGAAGAAGTAATTTTTGGCTAGTAGAACTGTAAATCATTTTCAACCTAAACAAAAACACGTGAATGTCAAGCAATAAGCATTTAATATAAAAGTCAGGAGGAACCATCACCTGTGTAGTTTCATTTCATTTTCTTGATAAAGCTCAGTCATAACTTTAAGTTTCTGCTGAAGCTTTTGAACTTCACTTTCCAATCGTTCATTTTCAGATTGTAAGGAAACCTGTTCACTTTGGAGGTTTTCTATACGCTCTGTCAAATACAGAGATAATTATATAAGCAATTAGATACAGGTCACAAAATTAAAGTATTTGTAACATGTCTAGTCTGTAAAAAGCCTGTAAAAACTTTTGATACCACATTAACTTAATAAAGTATGCAATAACATGTATTAATACATTTCAGTAATGATACAAATTGAGAAACAGTATTGGCCTTTTGATGGGAAGCCAGCAATTATATTCTCTACCTGACACAAAGCGCAGCTCTGAGCAAACTAACCTTTGCAACCCCTCCCAACGGTTGAGCTTCTCTAGACAGTGCTGTTTTGTAACTCACAATGTAAATCTTCATTTACAGCTTTTATTATTGTCATTACCCCACTAAAAGAGTAAAATCTTTATCACCATATATTCTTGTAGATTATCCATACAAAGTCTTGCTAAGATACCTGAAGGGATAATTCCAACTTGAATCTCAATTATTTGTCTAACTACTTTATGATCCAGATTACAATCAGTCATGCTCTTTATTTACTATTCCTAAGCCTAAAAAGCCTTACTATTCCTAAGAGCCTCAAGTAAGTTTAAGTACTTTTGTGGGACAGAGTAAATATCCATTTGAAAAATGCATCAGCATAAGTCAGTGTAAATGACCATTAAGCACTGAAAAAATACAGTTTTACAGAGCTGTAATGTATGTGAATGATGTACCATCATTCAAATATCAAAGTGTGATGGCTATTCTGCTTGCTTTCATCAACAAAAGCAACAATTAGTTACAGAATTTTCAAATTGTAGCAGCAGTATTTTCATTTAATAAAGTTTAATTCAGCATGACCTATACAACAAAGGAAAACATACAAATACTTCTAGCTTCAATGCTCTAAAATGCAGCACTTCAGATTTTAATAAGTATTCAGCTTACACTACAACTAAACTATCAATTTTAGTAGGTAGTTTTAAAATGTTACACTAGAAGTCCGTTGTTTCACGTCCAATATTTATGTAAAGATATTTTATGTTTACTAATATCACTTAGCCCAGATACTTTAAGATTTTGTAACTTCCATACTGCAAAAGAGTACAATAAAATTTAGAAATGGTGCTTTACCAGTCAATTATAAATTACTCAACTTGGATTGCTTCACCACCAAAATCAAATATTTAAAATAGCTAAGCAATTCAAACAGGCATTTTAAACATCAAGTAGATCTATTAACTTAAACTTAATCCAGTTTTTAGTGGAAATAAGATGTCATTTAATTACCTGTTAGTTCTCCCTTAGCTTTACTTTCATCAGACAATTTTGAATACATTTGATCTCTCTCTGTTTCCATGGTCTTTAAACAAGCATTTAACTACGATCAAAATGAAAAAAATAGCTTAAATCTATTAGAAACTGTATGCAAAAATATTTAAACGACAAAATTGCACAACTTTGTGATACCACTCGATAACTATTTACAATTAACCTTAGCATTAAAAAAAACCCACCATATATTGTATTTAGATTCCCCCCCTCCCCATTCCATCTACTGATTTCTTAAAATACACATACCTTTGCAGCATAGATCAATTTCTTTATGGTTCGTTTTTGCTGATCATCTGATTGACAGAATAGAATGTATCACATATAAAGCACAGAAAGATTTGTGACAGAGCTTACTACTCTGCTACTGGCATCGGTTTATTTTTATTAAAAAATGCCACAATAGGCAAAGCATATTTTAAAACAGAAAATAGGTATTCTTCCCTCCCTGACAGACTCAGACTAAGAGTGAATGCACTCTAAGATTTACTGGGTTGCACTCTGTGCTATCTTAGGACTAGAGAAAGAGAAGCCATGCATGAATCAGAAGGAGAAAAGGCCCTTCTGCGCTGCTTTTTCAGGGGATCCACATCTTTATCCCCAGTGCTATACACTGCCTGCAACAACTAACAGCCGTGGAATGACAAGCAAGTAGAAAGTAAGCTCTAGGGACCCACAGTAATACTGCTTGGAGGAACTTTAGGAAGAAATTAAAGTAAGGTTCCCACCTATATACGTATGATAATCACTGCCTAATACTAACATAAGCTAAGTCACTCTGCAAGAGACCAGGCATTGAGTCTTTTCATTTCTCTGTAACAATTAATACACTTGTATCTATAGCCACCCATTACTCTATGGTAGCACAGGCTACCATTACTCCAGAAGTTTCTAAGCATCAAGTAACTTGTCTGACATGGATAACATTGGGTGTTATCCAGTTTGTTGGTTTGATATCCACTGAAACATTTTAAATGTCATACCTAAATGCTCTCCATTTTCTGTTTCACCCTTTAAATCAGTGTCCCAGTGGTTATCTTCAGCATCATCGTCATCTCTGACTGCTGAACTCCAGTCTTTCATCTTTAACAAGTACTGTGTCAGTGACTAAGAAAAAAACCCACACAAAACAAGAACAGTAAAATAAGTACAAATAATATAAACTTTTCCAGGTTTTCTAACTTTTGTTTAGTTCCCTTAGTAGATCAAGTGAGCTTTATGTGTAGGACTCTCCACGTCCAACATTATACTCCTTCCATTAAAGAATATATGGCATGTCATGGTATGCTCTAGGAAGACTGTTCAAGTACCCATATAAATAGGCTTTTCACAAGGCTTCTGAATACAAATAAGGCCCCAACCCCCACAATCCAAATCTCAGAAAAAATATACCTATTTATAAGAATCAAAAGTGTTTCTCCTTTTTAAGATCTGCTGGCTTCCAAGACTGTCATAATGCTCCACCTGTGCTGCTAAGCAACTTTATTTGCTTAGCGAAAAAGGAGACACTACAGGACAGCAAACAAAAAACTCAAAACAACTTAATGAGTATTAAGACAGGGATCATTTGTTCAATTCTCTTGAAACTTCATGGTTAGCATCAGTTTGAGTAATCCAATTCAAAGCTGACTTTCATAATTTACCTTGACTTGACTCTCTTTATCTTTCAATACTTCTTCTATATCTGCTTTAGAAGATTCAAACATCTTAGTTTGTTCATTTAGTTCACTAAATCGTTCACCCCATCCTTCGGCTTCTTGTAAAAGCTGAAAAGGGAAATACTAGGTTAGGGTGATCGTTTCTTAGAACCAAAAATCACAGATGAATATCAGTTGAGCACACTACATGTACTGTCTTTTCAAAAGCAGAATTTTAACCTCTCATCCACCAATATGAATTAAACAATTCTCAAGATTTGAAAATAAATTCTATGTTATTGCTCCATTGCTTTTACTACAGAAGTTTGGCTACTGGCACACAACTGCATCTTTCAATCAGTAAAAGTCACGTGTGAATTCATAGCACAGTGCAAACTGGGTATTACCAACAAAAGAAAATACTGTTTTTGTCAGTACAGAAGACATACACAGGCAACTGTGTTTATCATTAAACATCGCTCCTAAAAGGGAAACTAAACTTTGAGTAGCTTCTGCATAGAGCCGAACAGAAAATAAATTGACCTTACTTAAATCCTTGTAAGAATAACAGCGAAGGAAAAAAAAGCAATAATGTGCAGTGAAATAAAGCAGCAAATATTTCTCATGTTCCTAGAGAAAAACGTAAAAACCACCCAACCCACAGATAAACATACAAACAAAAAATAGGAATGTGGAGTTCGTTAGCAGTTCCCTTGTTCAAACTAAAAGGCCCAGTCCTCTCCCTGACACGTCATAAATCTGAGAGCACATCTGTTACAGTGCTTAAACTGTGATGCGCCAGATGATGACCCATCAGTGCAAACAGAGGAAAAAAGTACTCTAATTTCTGTGAACAAATAACATTTTTGTTACCTTTTGAGCATAAGTGAAATTCCATCTTTAAAAAAAAAAGAAAAGAAAAAGAAAGGGATAGAGATCTTCCAGTACAGTGAACCAGTTCACACACTTAAACAACCTTAGAAAAGAAAACACAAATAAACAAAGCAAATACTTTCTCTTCTTTTCTTACTGGGCTCTATAAACTACTTTCCAGGTTCTTCATTCACTAAAAAGCACAGCAAAACGCAACACAGACCTTCTGAAATTACTAAAAATGGCAACACAGCTATGATATGCCAAACTTCAGTTACTTATCCTAAATAAGGTGGTTAACAAATGACCATACCCAGGTTATTTTATCTGGAAGGAATTAAAAATATATACTTAGTTAGGAACCTGACAAATCGATTACACCCCAACGACTGTTTTTCTGAATTTCTCTTAGGTCTGCCTGACATAAAACTATTGTCTATAAAACAGTAAATTTCAGCACTCAGTATTACCGTGCTTTAAGTCCTACTTTTAAGTGGAAGAAAGAAAAAGAACAAGAACAATCTTTTCCTCAAGGAGAAATAAATAGAAAATTTGAAACCAAGAAGCTACTAATAGAAAAAAAAACCCTCTATTAAAACTTTTAATTGCATACAGCTTTACAAAATTTCATAGAGATATGTTGTCACATTGAAAATAAAACACTCAGTTCAGACACTTCCTTCCCACAGAAAGTTACGTACAGATTTGATGAAAAAGAACTCCTGAAAGAAGATAATTCTCACACAACTTTGCCTTGCAGTGATCAAACCAACATCTGCTATTGATCAAATCAACATCTGCTATTCGTCCACTCACAGCATCTAACACAACTCTCCTCACCCCTTCCCCCCGTTTTATTTTTTTATTGGTGTAGTCAAACATCTAACCTTGCTGAGAGTAAGAACAACATTAAGTTCTACTGACAACAGAGCTGTGCATATCTGGAACGTTTCTCTACCAGAAAATTCCAGTAACTTCCCTAAAAACCAGCAAGTTTGATATCAAAGGTGCTTTAATAAAATCAGCAGGCCTGTACGTCTAGCTCTTCAAGATACCTGCCAGGACACATTTCACACAACAAGATGAGTCAGACAGGAAAACAAGTACATATCCATACAAAAATGAAATAGTTTATGTAGCATTTAATGTTCACAAATATTATCTTTTTTGTTAGAAATCGTAAGTTCATTATAAAATTTGGCATTACACTGAATGTCTACTGCATATGCTGATGAGATCTGGCTGTAGAAAGGAAGAAAATAAACAGCTAAAACTTGAGAAGTAACAGTCCTTTCTGTATCACCACATTACCCATCTGACTTCACAGCAACACTGCATTAAGTTCCTTTCCTGCCTTTTGCACAGTCTGACATTTCTTCATTTGTTTGGCTTTATCAAATTAAAGCATTTGCTCTTTGCTGCTAAAAAGAATCCAAGCTGCAGGCTTGCTGACATCTTTCCTCAGCAAAAACCCTATTAGTGTCACATTACTACATGCCATTTTCCTCAATAATCTGTACATGTGTTTCTTCTATTTTTTGATTGTTTTTTAATCAACACGGAACTACTTTGGACAAAATTTTTCCATCATCATTTTAAAGGTATGCTTGCTCTTCTTAATTCCATTTACAAAAACATTCATGGGCTACTCACAGACCCGTGCATGAGGAGCTCCTTGGAGAAGTCACATTTACAAAGCACTGTACAAAGATAACATTTCTAAGGAATTAAACTAGGAAGAACTTACCTGCTTCTCACTCTCCTGAAGCTGGTGGTTTTCATCTATGGCATCTTGAAGAGATGTCTTGAGTCTCTCTGTATTAATCTGATATACTTTTAGGGTGGACTTGGCCTACATTTAAAAAAAAAAAAGTGTGCTGTTTCAAGTGTATGTGAAGACATAACAAGCAGAGTCACCACGGACTGGTTCTTAATTTGTCTAAGTACATTATATTTGTATTCTCATCCTTTTATCACAATTTCTACAGCTTTTGCAGACTGAAGTCTTGCAACAACGTGTACCATTGTAGAGTAAGAAAGCAGAGAAAAGACAATGGAATTGCATTTCCCAGTAAGTGACAATCACTATAAGAAATCAACATTTAGTAAATCACGGCACATAGAAATATTAGAGCCTTTGCAATTCTTCTCATTTACATACCATATTATTTCTGCCTCCTACTAGTCAAAATTGTAAACAAATAACTACATTGAGAATGAAGGAATGATGAAGCTTTGAAAACAGAAATTATAAGATAAGACATACCTCAGCAACTTGTGATTGGATAGATTTTGCCTCTTTCTCCAGAGATTCCAGTCTTTCCTGAATTTCAGCCACCTGAAAATAATTATTTTTTTACACAGCTTCTTCAATAGATTCGACTGGAAAAGTCTAAGCAATTGCTGAAGTTATTTTAATTTTCAAACTGTGAAGGTTGCTAACTCTAAACCAGAGAAAGCTGTTTTTCTGAGAACATTAAAATGAGTAGCAACACAGAAAAGATCATTTCTATTCTTACCAATTTATCATTTTCTGATTGCTTGGATTTTTCTTCTTCCAGTTCCTTTTCCAGATTCTCTATTTCTTGGTTGAGTTCCAAGTTCGATTTGTTCAGTTGTTCATGTGTTTCCTAAATCAAGTTGTTTTGACAATTAACACACTTGATATTAACTACATAAAAAGAATACGTTTTAAATTTCATTTTAATGCAAAAATGACAAAGTACACTTAACATCACCAAATCAAGTAGAAATCTCAATGAACCCTAGACTCATGCATGCTAACAAAACCTTTAACAACTAGCTCTATCGGGTCTGAAGTACAGAACAAAATAAATCTGTTTGCTTTTTTGTTACTTGAGTTTTATAAATATTCCGTTATTTCATTCAATCTCTTTTGAAATCTTTTACAAATATATACTAAGTACAAGGGATATAAATGCAGCAATTGCATCTGATTTTGTTACTGTGTCAATGCAAGGCTATTCTGAACTTATGCATGCCTTTTCTTTAAAAGTCCTGGTAATTTTAAAACGTTCCAATAGGCTATAAAATGCATCTGAAGTAAATAGAACATGAGAACATACTTCCTGCAGTGCCCTATCTCTCCTGTTTAACCAATTAATTATTGTCTAGCATGCCATTGGCTCTAGTATCAAATGATGATTTCATCTTTCTTCCTTTTTCTTTTTTTTTTTTTACCTCAAAAAGAGATGCATCTGATTCTTTCATAATGTTGTCATCCTTTAGAGACAATTCTAAATCTTCCAACTGAAAAAAAAAAATCAGAACTTATATAAAAAATTGCCTATAGAACAAATAAATAGATATATTTATATATCTATTTATATATATATTATAATATATATATATATTATTATATATACAATAAATAAAATTCTAGTCAAACACAGATTTTGATTGCAGTGTGAGATACCAATAAGGCACTGAATTGGAAGGTTGTTAGGTTACCTCTTTTTTGCTAAGGCTGAGTTTCTCAAGAATTTTGCATTTCTCTTCAACTAGTTCAGCAATTTTATTGGCAAGCTGTTTTTCCCTTCCTAAAATAAACAGACAGTTAGATGTTGCAACATTCACACAATAAAAAGTAGCAAAAAGAAGGTTTGTGAAAGTTATGCATCAAACTACGAAAAATAAGCTTACCTACATAAAGTCGACTTCTAACCTGAAAGAAAAAGAAAAAAATAACAACCTTGAAAACGTCTTACATAGTATCTGAAGATTACTCTTACATAGTATCTGAAAACTATTGTCTGTGGTAACAATCAGGTCACCCACTGAGCTGAAGAAAGGAACACAAATAAAGGCTGCAGCCCAGTAACACACACTGCCAATGCAAAGTGGTAACGGCCAGAAGAAGAGAGGAAGGACAAAGGATAGTTACTCTACATGCCAGCTCAGACTTCCTGCGAAAAAGCAAGAAACCGCATGCTGTAATACATAACAGTCAGAGCTGCAGTAAGGGCACTACTTGATGGGCATCCTGCCCACTTCCCCCTGTGGGAAGGACCAAATCAGAGGCTGCCACGTGAGGACTAATGCCATAGAACCAAAATTGAACAAACAGCAGGATAAAATGCTACTAACAGCCTGGACAAGAGATGAAGAGGTTGAATGAGCCAAAATGTTGCAAGATGACATTTCTCTCACAGATGTGCCTGGAACATGTCTCTAACATCTAAGGAGAATGAATTTCTCTTTGAATTTCCCTGTAACCTTCTCATCCCAAGTCAAGGAGTCTAAGCAAGAAAAATGGAACAAACTCATAAGCACATCTGTCCTTTCAATCCCTAAAAGGGTTGATACTGGATGGCATGTAAGAAGAAAACAATACTAGAATTGTTATTTGATTCAAGTTTAAGTTGAAATTTACATTTTATATCCATTGACTGGAATGGAATACAGTAAAAAAAATTGCAAATAGAAACAAAGCAAAAAACCACTAAAGGAATGATAAAAAAATTAGAGATACATTAGCTTATACACATAAGGATTCCTCTTCCAGACAACCTCAATTGCTGCTGCAGAATAGGTGGTATTTTTCCAGGCGTAATGAGATAACAGAACCTTTAATACAAACGCAAGTGCTCTTATTTGAAAAATAAAGATGCCACGCAGCCTATCTCCAAAGACAAGTGTCATCACACCTAGCACCAAAAATCACACTCTGATTACCTGAGTACAAACAAAACTTGAAGAATACTGGATTACAGATAACAAATTCATTTCTTTAGTAGGAAGAGGTTGGTAGGCAGATTTGCATGGGTGAGGATCTGAGTAATAACAACAGAAGGCAACCCAAACCTCAAAAATATCATATGATGTTTGTGTTAAGAGGTTTCAGTACTACATTTCTTCAGCTCACCACTCACAAACAGCTCAAGATAAAATCAGTTCAGTACTCTGACACGTAGCATCAAGGTCAATGGTCAAAGGTTTTTAAAATGCGTCCCTTGATGGGGATTCATCCAGATTGTTTTCACCTAGTTGCTTTAGAAAAACACCTCCTGTCTTGACAATGTGGGCTACATCCCAGCTATTCTCCTTTTTTTTTTTAAAAGAGAGTCTAAATACAGAGTTTTAAACTACTGTGATTGAAGTATTATGTACCTTGCAGAGTAACAATTTGAATTGTTAGAAACTGCCAATGTAGTCTGTATATCTGCATGCCAGTTGAACACTTACTGACTGATAACTTCTATATAGGAACAGGAAAATTGTAAAGGCTCCAGCGATGCTGACAGCGATCACTAGTTCCCAAGGGAAACCATAGAGATCAGGTCCCGGTCTCATGTCTTCAGGCAGCGATGCCACAGCCTGAAAAATAAAATTGAAAGATTGAATTGAAGAGGTAAATATTTTCAACAGAAACAGACACAAGAAGTAATCTAAGTCAATATGTACAGCACAGGGCTGTACATCTAGCTTTTCTGAGACTCCAAGATGGTGGTTAACAGGAGCCTGAGTTTTGTATTACACGTTTACTAAACGGAAAAAAAAAAAAAAAAAAAAAGGATCCAGCAAGATCTGATAAGGACCAGACAAAGCTCTGAGAACTGCTCCTGCTGTGCGTGACAGTCACAACTCAATGCGTACAGTAAACGCAACGTGTCTTGAATAACCTGTTGCCATACAGCAAACCTCAATCTCTAATTCTTTAATAAAGCCTTAAAACCATCACTACCTCAGCAGGGCACAAGCTGGGGCGGGCTCTCTCTCCGGCACCTCTCCCACCCTGAAGGGGCGGGCAGCGTGTACCGATCCCTCCGGGCGGCTCAGCGAGCGGCCGGGCCTCGCCGCTCCTCGGGAGCACAGTTCGGCCCTACGCCGCGGGCTCCCCTGCGGAGCCCCGAGCCGCCGCTACGGTGCGGGCCGGCTTTCCCCAGAGCCCGGTTCCCACCACAAACCCCAAAGGGCTTCGGAGGGGCTCCGCACTCACCCTGCGGGTCGCCTCGGCGGCCCACCGGCGGCAGCGCTGAGCCGCGTCCCGCAGCCCCAGCCAGAGGCCGGCGTCGGCGGCGCCCGTCGCATCCTCTCGGCCGCCGGCAGCCATCTTGCCGCGGCGCCGGCACGGCCACGCGCGGCCCCCTTCCGGCCCCTCGCCGGGCAACCGGCCGTACCACTGCCGCCGGCGGTAAGGGGGAGCGCGGCGGGCCGAACCACTGAGACGCGTAGGGGGACGCCGCCGCCGGGAAGAGGGAGATCCCGCTGCGGCGGAGGGGAGAGAGCGGGACGGCGGCAGCGGGCTCCGGGCCTCGGCGCGCCGCCCAGCCGGCAGCGGGGCACGACGGCTGGCGAGCCCGGCAGGCCGCCCTCGTGAACAGCCGGCGCCCGGAGGAGCGGCTCTTCCGACACCGACGTGCGCTCGCCGGCTACAAAACTACTTCGCGGACACTTACCTCCGCCGTTTCTATTCGCCCCGCGTCACGGCGGAGCCGTACGCAGACAGAAGCGCCAACGGCCGGGCCGGCTCCTGAGACAGACCTTGCCCCGCGCAGAGGCGGGCCTGCCGTCACACTTGTGACTCGTGCCCAGGGACGACAGGTGGCGGCTCTCCCCGCCGTGAGGCGCGGCCCGGCCAGAGGGAGGCGTGCGGCGCCGCGGGGGGGCTGGGCCTCGGGAACACCTGCCTGTCTCGTAAAAACCGCCCGTAATGCGGCTGCCGTGAATCTTTGGGCAGAAGCTGCTGTCGCTGCGAACGATTCTGGAGAAAAGACCTTTACGATCAGCTAGACCAGCCACCCTCCATCGCCACTACTAATCGCGTCCCGCGGTGCCGCATCTACACTCGAACACCTCCAGGGATGGTGATTCCACCACCTCCCTGGGCAGCCCGTTCCAGTGCATGCCTGAACATTCTTTCGGGTAAGTTTTTCCTAACACCTAACCTCAGCCTTCCCTAGCACAGCTTGAGGCCATTCGCTCTCATCCTGTCACTGCTCCTCGATAGAAGAGGCCGACCCCTGCCTCTTCACAGCTTCCTTTCAGGGAGTTGTAGAGAGCTGTAAGGCTTCCAGAGCCTCCTCCAGACCAAACAGGCCTAGTTCCCGCAAGTGCTCCTTATAAGGCTTGTGCTCCAGACCCCTCACCAGCCTCGTTGGCCTTCTCTAGACACACTTCAGAATCTCAGTGACTTTCTTGTAGCAAGAGGCCCAAAACTGAACACAGTGCTCAAAGTGCACGACTCAGAACAGAGTACAGGAGGACGATCACCTCCCTGGTCCTGCTGACCACACTATTTCTGATACAAGCCAGGATGCCATTGGCCACCTTGGCTATCTGGGCACACTGCAGGCTCATGTTCATGGCAGTCAACTAACGCCCCCAGATCCTTTTCCTCAGCACAGCTTTCCAGCCACTCTACCCCAAGCCTGTAGCACTGCCTGGAGTTGTTGTGACCAAAGTGCAGGACCTGACACTTGGTCCTGTCAAAGCTTGCAATAGTTGGCCTCAGCACATTGATTCAGTCTGTCCAGTTCCTGCTATAGGTAACTGGACTTCCTTCCTACTCTCAGTCATATCGACACTTCCTCCCAGCTTGGTGTAATCTGCAAATTTACTAAAGCTGCACTCAATCCCCTCATCCAAACCATCAATAAAGATATCAAACAGAGTCTGCTCCAGTACTGATCCCTGGTGAACACCACTGATGACCAATCGCTAGCATCTTAGCAACAGATACTCATGGAAGCGAGGAGCAACTCTTACCTCTTTGACAGGACTTGTAATTGCTGAAAAAACAGTCTTTACCAGTGCCCCCATCTCAAAAGCACTCAGGCACAGAAGTATCTGATTTATCCAGCCTACGTCTGCTTTGTTTGTAAGGAAGAAAAAAAAAAAAAAAAAAAAAAAAAAGAAAGAAAAGAAAAATTATGTTACTATGGTATATTTAATATAATTCCAACTTTTTTTTTTTTTTTTTGGCCATTTCAAATTAGGAAATTTTGCACATACCATTATCTGGAATGTAGTTCTGAATTTGGAAAATGTTATCTGAGAAAGGCTTTTCACCATCATGTTGAAAATCAGCTGCTAAGCTTGGCATTTTTTCTTCAGAATTTACTGAAGGGATCACTGTTTCTTCTGAATGTTGCTCCCTGTCAATAGGTGCATCCATTTCATATTTATCCTCTGGCTTTTTTTCCAGCAGCCTTCTTTTACCACCCACTCCTGCAGATAATTGTGAAAGGAAATGGTGTTTATTATCAAAGGATTGAACAACTGTTCTCACACAATTTTTATTTTATTACAAGATATGAATATCTAACTGAGGTTTTCATTTTATTTTCTTTCTTCTCCTCAACAATTAAAGATGCCGTGTAAGATTAAAGATCAGCAGATCTTTTAGGAAACTACAAAATAACAAACATCACAGCAAAATACAAAAAACACAGACACATTCATGCAGAAGGATATTGGAAGGAATCAGCTGCCTTATTTCCTCTGACTTGAGGTAAATTTTTTGGAGTGAATAAAAAGCATTTCAAAATACACTTTAAAAAAAAACAACAAACCAAAACAAAACAAAATTCCACACTTTGCCTAACCATGTAGAAAAACATAGAATCTACAACAAAATTATTTTTTAATTCTAATCTCCAGGGACACGAGTGGCCAAAGATCTCCATCACAAGTAACCCAATAGCTTCCACAAGTAGGCTGTGATTTCACAGTGAAGCCTTTCACATCGGTGCAGCTGTACAAGTTTGTTTCCCTCACAGAGCTGCTCTCAGCTTAACATTTGTAAATAAAATTGTTGCTACATAATGAAATGGGTTCGGTGAATCTGCATTTATCACACAGCATTTCCAGAGTGAGACTGGTGTCACTCTCACATGGGATAATCTTGACACCTAGGTGGTCCCCACTAGTGTGTAATTTATTTTTTGAATTTACAGGTTTGTGAATATAAGCATTGAGGTTATTCTGTTCATTTTGTACTATTTCAACTGCTTCTGTTTTTTATTTTCCCTGCAGTAGTTTCCAGTTGATTTAAAGTGCACATTTCTTCATTCACATATACTGTTCTCCTTTTCTTCACTTCGTTCCTCTTTTGAAAGTGAATGGTGTTCACTTGAGAAAAATCTCATGCCTGTGAACACTCTGTATTTTCAAAACTTAATCTTGAAGGTAAATACAGAGAATCTTTGGAGATAAGGTCATCATAATAACCTCTTATGTTGGTGCTTTCCTAGATTTAACTACTTTTAGAAACACGTTCTTCAATACTGGAACAACTAAACACATCCCCCTGTAAACTCCACACTTTCTCTCCCTCAGCTACTGGAAACTGAAACATTGTAAGATCTGTAGAAATCCTAAAGGGAAGAACTGGTTCTGTTCTTCTGATATGTCAGGCATCTCTTCTATATTGTGTCCGAGAGTCTCTCACAGTACTGAGATGGGAGAAGAATTTGACCTGATTCAATTGGTTTATCACATCTGTCTACATAATTAATAAAACTCTTTCAGATGTTTTCATACCAACCTGGCTGGCCGTAGTTTCTTTCCAACTCTGGATCTCTATCTTCAGTGTTTTTTAGCAGTTGACTTACTGATACCACATCTTGTTCTGAACTGCAGGGATCAACTGGATCTTCTCCATCACATATTAATTTATCAAGAGATAATCCTGTGCTGCTTGAGGTATTTTTGGTATCATTAGGATTTGCTGTTATCTCCCTGGCATTTGGCATGCTGCTGTTTGAATCTGTTACTTCTGGTGCATAACTCTCATTTGCTTCATCTAACACTCCTTTGACTGTCTCATTTGATTCTTTGTCTGTGTGTGATTCTTGCTGGTTTAAAGTCTGTATTTCTTCATTCTTACTTGCTTCATCTTCTCTTTCTTTGCTTTCATGGTCTTCCATAGCATCTGTATTTTTCTCAGCCTGCCCAAAATTTAGAACATTGCTTAAACCCAAACTAAACCAATTTGATGTGGATTCTCGACTGTCACTATTTTGTTCTTTTTCTGTCGATAACTCTGTGGCTGCTGTGTCATGTTCATTGTAGGAGTGAGTATCCACCCTAGAAACATCATGGACTTGTACATCATTTTCTGGTACCAAACCAACATTCACGTTCTCTTTACCAAAATATAGAAAATCCTTCAGTCCACCCTGAAGCCAACCAGATGCACTGGGCTCTTGTTCCTCCTTGTCATGTGGCTCCTCTAAGTCATTGTCAGTAGTTACTGCTATTTTTCTGCCTTGGTAACTGTTTTCTTCTGACGGTTCAGAAATGGCTTTTAAGGTCTCTTCATCATTTTCACTTCTCGTGGTGAACCACCCTGCAATATCAGAAACCACCCAACTAGACTGAGTTGGAATGGGTTCCAATGGGAGACTGTTTGGGAGTTCTGACTGTTCGGCATCTTCATTTCTGTTCTCATTTTCACTAACCAATTCCTTGTTTGCAGACTCCTGACTCTGAGATTCTTTGGAACCGTTTTCAAAAACTGATTCAATTGTTTCTTCATTTTGGAAAGAGTCTTCTGTCTGATTTAAGAGTTCATTTTCTTGCAGCTCTGATTCTGCGTCAGGTGGTGAATATTCACTTTCTTTGTTCTGATGATGTAATGCGCTATCTTCGCTTTCAAAAACATACTCGTCTCCATCAAGACAAAGGAAATCAGTTTCCTAAAAGAAAAATATAAACTTCTAAACTATTTTCATATATAATTTTCTACAGCATTGTGTAACACAGCAATATACCTTTATTCTCTTCCTCTGTGTGTCTGTAACTTTATACAAAGAACTGTAAGTAACTGAATTTTTCCTAGCAGTTCTATATTACTTACCAGATAAAAAATTATCTTAAAATACAATAAATACACAAATGGAGCAATAATAAAAGAACTTTGTCTTGAATTATCTGAAATAAAATCTGCATTGAAACGTGAATTTCTAACTTGTTTTTAGATTTTTCATGTGGTGTAAACTGGAGAATCTGGGGATTTTGGTTTACCTTAGTGAGCACTTCAATTTCTTCTGCAATTAAAACTTCCTCAACCTTCACAGCATCTTTTGGGAAATATCCAAAGTCTTTTCCTTTCTGTAAGACATATTAAGCATTTAACACATTTAAGCATTTAAACTTCAATGATTATTATATTGGGTGCCTGCATATGTGCTAGAAAAGAAAAAGAAAGCTTTATTTTTTGTTTCTCCTTCACAAAATTGTTCCGTTTGCCAATTCAGGAAGCAAGAAGTATATTTTATGGCATGATAGCCATAGGACAATGGGAACAGTTTTAAATGAAAAGAAGGGAAATTTAGATTAAATGTTAGGGGGAAATTCTTTACTCAGGTGGTGGTAAGGCACTGGCACAGCTGCCCAGAGAAGCTGTGGGTGCCCCATCCCTGGAGACACTGAAAGCCAGGTTGAATGGGGCCCTGGGCAGCTCTGCACATGGCAGGGGCTGGGTGGGCTTTAAGCTCCCTTCCAGCTCAGTTTTACTAGCATTTGGAATTGGATCTGCCCATCCACTGCTTTTAGCTGTAATGTAAATAATGGTTGCTCTAACTACACTGTCAGTTGTTCCAAATCATTTAATATATGTGATAACTTCTCTGGGAACTTTCTGTGAGCACTGAGCTGTAACGTCAGGTCCCAACACTGGATTGTCCACTAAGTAACCATAAAAACTCATTACCAGCAGACCTGACCCAACAGACCTGAATGTTCTTAAGGGAACTGGATGCAATCATTGCAACCAAATGGTTAGAGGAGAAGTCAGAAAAGTTGGATTCTGATCTGGGCTTTCATTCTCAATAAGGAATTGATAGATTTGATTTTTCCTCTTACAGAAAGATAAAAACAATGAACCATCTCACAAATACGATGTTGACCCATGGCTAGTTAACATTACAAACGAGATGGAAAATCCCTAGAAGGAAGCAGGCTGCTGCTGCTGTTATTATAGTATCTAAATTATTTATGTGGGAAGTCTATCAAATTTAAATACTTACACTTCCTATCCACAAATTTTCATTTTTCCTGGAAAGTTTGGAATACACAGTTATCTCCTCCCCTGCTTTGAAGCTCAGATACCGGCAGTCAGGTCCCAAATAATCTGCGGTGGCTTGAACTCTGCTCATTGCCGCTGGAATGATGTGTAGGAAGAAAGGAGCACATAAGTATGGTAACCACTTCATCTGAAGTCAGACAGGTTATTGAAAAACCCTGACATGTAGTAATATATTAAAATGTTATGATACGATGATACCACTCCATCACCAAGTGGAAAGTTACTGAAAATACAGAATGGAAAAAAGAACCCTTTCCTGTTTTTTTTTCTGCTGCTTCGTGCAGACACTAAGGTGAAAAGCTCCTGTCCAATATCAGCATTGTTTTTAGCACTTACCATCCAAGCTTTCAAGGCTGAAAAGCAAGTCGAGAATTAGCAAATTCAACTATTGTTTGCTCTAGTCAGTCTGGAGCCCATTCCCTACACAGACTGATATCTCTGAGCACCCAGAAGCTGGGGAAGTCAGAATGGCTCCCCAAGAAAATCAGGCTGTCAGCAGAGGAGGTCTAAGCATTTAGTATGAAAATGCCTGCACATTACCCATTGCTGTCCACTGGTGATTCAGTGGCTTGCTGACTGCCTCCTGCAAAGCTATTTAATCCTCAGGAGCTCCATTACCAGTTACTGCTCTTACTTCATCTTAAAGACATAAGGATAAAGGATCTGTGTGCCATATAGAAAGGATTATAAAACAAGCAAACAAACAAGAAACTCCAAACAGTTTGCCTAGAATAGAAAAATACAGTTTTACAGAACAGGCAATGAAACAAAGATATACGTTCTTTCTTGCTATACAGCCTACCTTTTTCTTTTTTGAATATATATTGCCTGTATGTGTGTATGTATATATGCCCAGAACCAGCGAAAAATATTTTCAAGTTGCTTTATATTGACTGCCTTGTGGAAACCTGAGAAAAATGAACTATTCAGGAACTTTGTTTTGTTTTGACTGAACTTCGATCTTTCTGTTCTTACACAACACAGTCCAGAAAGTTTTTCAGGAATATTCCTGGTTTTTTTTGTTTGAAAATTTTAAGCCAATTATTCATAAACTTAGCATATTGACAACAGAGATTTTCTATGGCTACTCATTTTCATTTGGTGCTTTATTTAATTTCAACATAATGGTTTGCAATAACTAAATATACACTGACAGCTTTAGGAAAAAAAAAAAAAAGGAGTTACTTACTCTCACATTCCCAATCACCACATTTCTTCCATTCTGAAAGTACCTTTGTACTCCGTAGGCTTGTTAAAAATGAAAGTACTAGCAGGAAAATTCTGGGATCCACTATCCTTGACATTTTTGAGTAAGTCTAGAAACTGTGGATGCACTAATGTGCAGAGCACAAGAATATTTTACATTATTTTTCTTATCCAAATGGAAAGTTGTAAATAAATCCCATTTCCCTTCTCTCACCTGCTTAAGCAGAAGTACACTATACTCAGTCTGCTAACAAACTGCAAAGTCAGGTGTCCTGATTACATGCATGCGTTTAATAATTAACCAAATCCTCATAGCTAGACTGATGTTTTGAATACAAAGAAACTGTGGTTCTGCTCACATCACAATTTATCTATCTATCACATAGGTATTTCTTTGTTTTCTGGATTATGGATGAATTTGTAAGTTATCACAACCATAAGATTTTAAGCTGGATTATAAATTACACGTATCATTACCACACCATTTGTCAGAGAGAAATGCTTCAAATCTAAGCAGGTGGTGCATCTTGCTTTTTAAGAAATGCCTTCTGTTTCTTAGCAACTTACCCCCCAGTGGAGTTACAAATGTTTTCTCAAATACATATTATACTTTAAAGTAGTTACGCAGGAAATGGTGCACAGGTTATATAGGTCGGGCTGTAAATATGATCCTACAGAGTGGTTTGCTTTAGAAGTAGATTTTACTTCAAATGCTTCAGAGCGTTACCCTGAACTTCTGAATAAGCCTGCCCTTCTTTCAGTCGTGAGCATGAGTTGCACGTAACTTGTTTTGCTTTTTGTTTTTGGGAGCCTGAGCTGTGTCTTACTTGCAGCATAGTTCCCCTCTCTCCTGCTCCCCAACGCAGATCTGCCAGATACCTGTGCCGAGCCTGACCGATGAGCCAGCACGTGTCTACAGGAGGCTGGGAAGTAGAGCACAAAGTGCACTGCAACCAGGGCCGTGTTAACTAGCAATGTCCCACAAAGAAAGAAGTCATGGTAGCTGACGTCCTCCAGTTGCAATCCAACACTTTGCCCCCCACTCTTGCTATATGACCTGATAGTCAGACAGCCTCTGCTATGATCTGACACACCAGCTGCCTCTGCTATGAGTTCTCTGGCAGATTACCTGCCCCATGTACCCACTGGGATGAAATCACACCTGATTCATCCCCAGTGCTCTCCTCTCAGTAGCACCAATTGATGCTGCCCCATCCCCAGCACCAATGTTCTCTCTCATCCATTCCCCTGGATCTTACAATGAGCCGATGACTGGGGACCTTTCCTGGGGCCCTTGTGGGTTTAACCATAGGGGGAGAAGGTGGAGAAAATAGAATACCAGGCAACTGAAACATGACAAGTTCATGGAAGCCTGGAGAGGAAAAAAGGGGACGAGCTTTTCATTCCCAAATTGCTACAGATTAGGATAGACTGATGAGAAAGAGTAGACAAAGGAATGTGTATTGGTGAGAGGGAAGGACTACAGAAAACATTGATATTAGGTAGAACCCCAATATAAAGCACTGTACAAAATCAGAAGGACAGAATTTTTATACTGGCAAGATTAAAAGCTGATCAGAAGAGTCAGAATGTTGCTTACCAGCCATGGAACATAAGACAAACACAAACTATGGGTTTAGAAAGACTAGCAGTCTCTTTTTGACCCTGAAAAGATGTAAGTGGTTCACCTAAAAATGAAAAAGCCAAATACTCTGGCACTCAAAATTACATAGGTCAGCAAGTTTGCACTGGAGAGGAAACTAAGACACCCACACATTATAACTACATTTTACACATTACACGTTTACATTCTACACATTATAACTGTATTTGTTAAAAGATACCAAAACAGCTCTGACTTTTCATGTGGATTCTCAGGTCTTTATATGGAGATACTGAAATTGTTGCAGCCCATCGTAGCTGTTCCATTTAATCTACATCTACAGTTTTCGAGTTACTGTGGGCAATGCTTATTGTGTAGCTTAGTCTCAACAATCACTCTTCTAGGTTTTAAGCTGTTAAAAGGCTGTTTAGCAGTGCTCTGATCTTTGTTATGTGTTACACATTTAACATAACTTCAATAACAAAATACGTATCAGATATTATTTTCTTCAGGATGTAAATCCCACACTTGCAGGTGCGGGATTTATGAACATGGCTTCTAATCACCTTTGAACTTAATTCAAAGATAAATGTTCATGGAGTTTATTATAGCTGGCTTCCAAAGGACAAAGTTGAAAACTTCACATCAGATTGAGCGACACTAAACTTTGTTTGTTTGGCAAGTAAAAGCTAGGCACTCTTCTGCAGAACTGAAGCAACAAATGTAAGTACTATCATTCATGCAAAGACAGACAACGCTAACAAAAAATTAAAATTAAATTCCATTTCCAACAGCTTTTGTAAGGATGAAGCTATTGTTAAAAATATTATTAAATCTCTGGGAATTATATTTTAGTAACTAATTACTGAACTACAAATACATAACATATATAAGTACATTAAAAACTTGATAACACTGTACAGTTTTGATTATATTTTTATGATAGCATCGAAAGGTTCTGTACAGAATGTAAGGTTTTACTGGGTAGAAGATTGCACAAATAAGTGGAAGAATATTAAAACATAGTTCTCTTGATTTAGGATGTTAGTGTAAAAGTGCAGATCAAGTTTTATACTGAATTATGTTTCATGCAAAAAATACATACTTTTGTTTCAAACAAGTATTTTTAAAAATCTAATAAATGAAAGGAAGAAAAGCAACACCAATTCACTCTCACTTCTTCCAGTTAAATAAATAAGAATACGCATCATTTGTTCTCTAACCAGAACAAAGCAAAATTCTTTGGATATGGTGTTCAGTTGCAAGGAAAGGGAATTACTGCCTTCCTACTACAAAAAGGTTTAGAAACACGACAACGGCGTATTTGGAGAAAATCCTGCAACTTGTAACCTAGTACTTTGAATCTTGGAGGTGTAATCTTATGGTTTCAATGTCTCACATTTTGCAACATATTAAAATATTGTCTCCACAATAAAAACAACCCTGACAAGGTTTGTGTAAAGCACAGGTTTTCTGTGTAACAGACTGGGGGAAAAAAAGTAAAATGAGCAACCTTATATCTTCTGAAACACAGATATCTGGATGTGAAATATGTATACCATTGCCACAGCACTCGATGGCATCATAAATGCCTGTGGTCCCAGAAACACTTTTTTTGAGCAGGGAAGCCCGTTTCAAAGATCTGGGACACACATGAAATGAACAAGTTCGTCTTGTTGTACCACAGTAATTGTTACAAAGTCAGCAGCTAAATCTGGATCTTAGAATCATACCCGGGGTTTAACCTCAAGAACTTTACTTTCCTTATGAACAAATGGTGATGGAAAAATCAATTTGCATATTTACTGGCCTTGGAAATTAATTTGAGTAGAGCTTTTTTTTTTAAGCTAATAGCTCTTCAGAAAAAAAATACTTTCAAGTTTCTTTTGAATACTTAAAATGAAATTGTTCCAAGAACAAAGAAATCCAGTCAAGTAAAGAAACACAAATTTGAAGAAGCTTACATTCTATGCAAGGTCACATTTCAGCTTAGTGTTCACAAACAATCCACCTGCTCTGACAATGACTTGGAGTAGAACATCGTGGAAAACAACGCATTCCTGGAGACTTCCAGCTTCTCTCTCCATCAAGACTGAAGAAAATGGAGGCACATAAATGGTATAGAGACAGTGCACATAGTACAAAAGCACTGTAAAAAACCACCTCTGTATATATATTCTAAATTCCTATTTAAATGCAGGGTGTGCCACTTCATGCAAGCACTACATGTGGTTTATTGACAACTCATATAAAGTATCTCAACTTTATTAGTTTTTGCTCCTCTTGATCACTCATTTTCCTACATTACGTGAGTGAAGTGAGATCAGAGTATTTTTCCATCTCTACTCATCACTACGGGGAAAGGAAACAAAACATTTTAATGACATTCTAGTCACATATTATCTGCACTTAATTCCCAGAACCCCAAAACTGTTTCACCAAATTCAGTCTTTAAATATTTATGGCATACTGATATATATATTCAGTTTCCACTATTTGAAATAGTAGTCTTGGAAGAGGAGAAGGAAATTTCACTCATGATCTCAGTCTTACCCGTAACTCTGAAATCATCTCACGCTAAGAGAATACAGAATTTTATCTACTATTGTAAAAACATTCCTGTGTGAGAGGGTAGAACTTTGAAATGTAACTAAATTACTGAAAATAAAACGTAAAAAAAAAACAAAACAAAACACCACCACCACCAAGAGTCTTTCTGCAACACTGTGCTAATAGCATACTGTTATGTTATACTACTACAGTAGTAGAATATTGGTTGGAATATCTAGCTCTTAGAAAACTTCATTCTCAGAAATGTATCAGATACCAACATTTTTATACATGTCTCACTGAGCTGCTTAGGCTTAGCAAAATCAATTCCAGTACCGTTAAGTAGTGGCAGTTGTTTCTTAAAAGGAGCATTGAACTATCAAGCACATTTCCTGCTTCATAAGAACAACAAAATACCTGTATTCTCACCTTCTCAAGAATATATTGCTTAAATATTAAATTTAAATATTAAATATTAAATAATTGCGACCTGCTGTAGGGAACCTGCTTTGGCAGGGGGGTTGGACTCGATGATCTCTGGAGGTCCCTTCCAACCCCTACAATTCTATGCTCCTGTGATTCTGTGAATAGTAACCTGAAACACAAAATCATAATGTACTCAACCCGTTCCCTACTTTACATACCAGGACTCCCTGCTTACTATACATGCTGTTAAATAGCTTTTAAGAAGCAGCCTTCTTCTACAGCTTTGTGTACCTACAGCATTAGCTATTAAAACCCTCTCAATGAACCTACAAAATGTATTACTCAACACTGGATCTCTCCAGCTTAAAAAGACAAACCTTCAAAATACTTCATGTTATACACCTCAACAAGAAAACCAAGAAAATTGAAACGGCTTTTGCTAACTCCTCATTTCAAATTGTCTTTAGAAACATGCAAGGCAATAACACGCATTCAGCTACTCATTATAAAAATGTGTTCCTTGTGGTAAAATACTGTTTAATACCTTAAGACATTTGAACATTTTGGCTCAAAAACAAACAAAAAAACAATCCAAACCCACACCCAAAAGACCACACTGATCACTTTCCCCTGAAGGTATGGCAGACTTCTGAGAGGTAAAAAGGAACCTTGTTTGTAGAGCAGCT